AAAGAGTTTGTTCTGACAACAAAAGTTTTCATCCTGGCTTGGGCTCGGGCCCTATGGAGATTTTGTTCTTACCCCGAAAACTGTTCATCTTGGTCCGGGCTCCCCAGTAGGTCCGGGCCCCGGGGCAGCGACCCCTGACCCCCTCCCCTCTAGACGCCACTGTTCAAGTCTATTTTATTTTCTCCATGGTTCAAGAATTCACACATGATTACTTATTCATTTTTATTTATTTACTATCTATCTATAACTTTGTTAACTAGTAGCCTCGCGGCCGCTACACCCTAGTCTGAATTCCATAGCACCAAATACAAAACAATCAATACGTCGCAATATGCTTATCAATTGTGTTTATTTTTTTGCAATTAAACAATGATGATAGATTCTTAAGATTTGTAACTCAACGATAGGCAAGAGGTGGATAGGCCTTTAGCCAGTACAATACGTAGGTCCTAATAGCATTTAGGCATTGTTGATTTGGATGGAATCCATTGGCCTTGGCAGCAACCTGGACCCGGCCTATGCTACACACACACCCACATTGAATAAGAATTCTTGCCGACGCCCCTATAATTCATATTCTTCCATATTTTCTTTTAATCCTTTTGAAGATAAGAGTAACGTGTGCAAGATTAAAAGACCAACAGAAAGTCAGGTAGGCCGTAGGCCCTCCCTGTACATATCCACTAAATACATCTTTATGGGGTTCATAACTAATAGATGGGGATTTACGTAAAATGCTGGCGCACCCCTTAATTGTGTTGAAAAAAATAATTGTTGTATTATATTGTTTACATGAATTATTGGCAAGATTTTTAAGGTATGAGAGTGCAATTTTACGGGCACCCAGAGAGGTCTATATTCTCACAACTTTCGCACCTCACCCCAACCATGTTGGGACTGAGGTGGTGTAGACTCTCATGCACCCAAGGGCGCAGATCATAGGGGCAGTGGACACGTACCTCACATATTTTGAAGGTGACATTGCCGAAGAACGCCGTGGGGCAGGGGACATATATTTAAGGGGTCTCCCTCACTTTTCGTCTGCAATGCAATTTCATAAGGCAAGAAGATGCCTGAAAATTGTTGGAAAAAGCTACATAAATGACCCTAGTTGTAAGGAAAGAGCGCCGTACAGCCAGATTACATCTCATTTTATAGCAACATACCGGTATCTGCCCACAAACACCTGAATTACCTATAATACGCTACTCGAGTGTGCGTGCCTTTATTATAACATGAGATGAGAAAAACGAGAAAATGTAAGATTGGCTTTCGGCACATAAAATAATGTAAATACTTTAAAGATAAGTTTTATTAGGGTAGATAACAGTGATTAATTAATAATAATAATAATGTAGTTTTATATAGCTCACATATCCATCTAATGTAAGATGCTCAGGGTGCTTGATATGTGGACTAGGAACTCGATCAATGATATGAATTAGATCGATGATGGTGAATTTTACTATATAAGACTAAGTGTAAATGTTACCACCTCCGCGCCAAATGGTGGGGCTGAGATGTAGTTTTATTTTCTATGATACATTACTCGTATTAATTAAATTTCGGTGGTTGCCGAAAATCCCTGATAAAAGATCATGAGAAATTTGCTGGCGCTTCATATAGACTGTACTGGTGACGTGATGATGAGTTTTAATATATAGGCCTGAAAGTGTCATTTCCGGTCATCTAAAGGTACTATTTCCTCCGATTTTCTCGCCTCAGTCCTAACCATGATGGGGCTGAGGTGGTTGTGGACCCCATTGTGGACTCACGGCTTTGAAATAGGTAAAATAAATACATAAATAAGACAATGTTTAAATTCTATTTTAATATGGTAATTAGGTCTCTGTGGTTGCCGAAATTCGCTAATAAAAGATCGTGAGAATTTGTTGGCGCTTCATTTGAATATAAATTGATGTGGTGATGATAAATTTTACTATATACCATAAGTGTCATTTCCGGCCATCTACATGTACTATTTCCACAAAATGTCCCCCCACCTTTAAAAACAAATCTGCGCCCTTGCACGCACCCCAATCGCTAAATCCTGCATCCGCCCCAGAAAACAATTTAGAAAAAACATGTAAATATACATAAAATATATTTGAAAGACCTTTCTTTCAAAGCCACTCCCACGATTCCGGGATACTAAAGTTCTGATTTTACTGGCACTTTTTTTTGTTTTCATTGTAAAATGTTCTTTTTAATTTCTCATGGTCGAAAGTATTGTAGAGGTGGATGAGGTGTAAAATGTTGTTAATGCGCTCAGATGATTAAGAATAATTAAGAAGTGGAAAAATGGGCTGTCTTGACTGGAAAAGTATATATGAGTGGGAAATTGTACTGTACTGAACTTGACATCTTCACGTGCATGTCAGTTGACATGAGAATCGCGCAAAATGACTTTTTGCACTAACATCATACTGCAATTATATTCCTTATTTCAACAATTATTTAGTATAGATGAGGTGGTGTCCAGTGGTTAATGAGACACACGTTCGCCGCAGAAAACATTCATTTTCTGTATCTACTCGAAAATGTGCCTTTTGTCACAACATTGTTGAAATGCAAAAAAAAAAAGTTGTAAATTTTCATTTGCTTTAACTTTTAATTTTGTTTGTCAATTTTCACGAATCAAATTGTAGTTTATAGAGAAGCACTTAAAACGTTCGTGGTCAAAACAAATCAGGTGTAACAGACAATGCGAAAAAAATAATAATAAAATAGTAACACCATCAAAATATATGACACACAGACTAATAACTAACGGCTGTACTCGCAACTTGTATCGTTTTATGTATCAATAATGTAAAACGTTCGCGTGTGGAGATATGCATCTTTTGTTAAATTGCATTGGTTAATGCATGCAATAATACCTTCAAGTTGATGTAAACAACTGATGTAAATGAAAAGTGGTATCGTTTTATAAAAACCTAGAAATAAAGCATCTGCACTTGTGCATAAACCAAGTCTTGACTTGCAGACGATATAAAAAATGATAAGAAAATTCAACGTAAAATTCAAATGATCTCCCTCTCTTGTATCATCAAGTGTGATTTCAAAATTGATGCATGCATTTAAACATATTTAAAAAAAAAGAAAAAGAAAAAAAAAAGAAACACACACACATTCAGAATAATGTCTCTTCCATGTGTATCCCAATTTCATTAAACCTCAATTCACATTCACATGACATCTCTCTTGTATGTGAAGCAACATCCTACATATTTTTTCTGTCTCTTATACACATCTCACTGGTAAATTAACTGAGAGATATTCCAATTGATGATAACTCAGTTTTATTGAGTGAATTAAATAAATACTGTGTATTACATGACCAAAAACATCAAGCACCAAAACAACTACTATCAGCTATTTTTTTCTTCTTCAGTTGCAGATACAATTACACTAAACTTTACTAAGACAAGTACTGTACCTGTTTACCTGTTTTAACTACCCAGTTTCAAATGGAAACCAAGTTTACTTTGCACTAAAGCACAGCACAATACTTAGACTTGCCACAAGTCTCTAATTTATGGATAAGTTTTTCGTAGTATTAGCGCATTTCGGAAAGCGCCACCAGCGTCAGTTTATGTTGAGAAACTTTTTTGATGAGAATTGAAAAGTATACTATAGAACACCATGCAAATAAGTAATATGGAACACCATTTGTGCCAAATTCGATTTATTCTTAAGCATTTCAACTGATTAAGAGAAAGATTAGGGACTGGAACCCTGTCTACACAATACTATGATAAATTTAATAAAATTATCTATTTCTCAAAAGATTTTATCAGGGATAGGAAAAGATCAAATTATATGTCTTTAAATTCTTCTTACCAATGCAAAATCATCCCTTATATTTTCTTAGCTGTCTTTAAAAATTGCTAGGTACAGTACTACAGCATAACTTAAAATTAATTAGATTCATGTTTCTTCCAATTTATGTTTGTTATGTACACAAGTGTTCTTTTAATTGCATAAACATTCTTTTTAAATTCTTCCACATTGTTAAAAATATGATATCAAATTTCTTTTCAGATAATCATTTTACCTACAGAATTCTTAACATTGTGTATGGCTTCCCTCCTGTATGCACACTCTCAAATGTAAAGTACTTTCACAGTGCTAAACTGTTCCTAAATTTCTTCCTACAAATTTTATTTTTCCACGCATTTATAATTGTCTCTCTTCTGATATGTATCCTTAAATGTTTTTTAAAGTGTTATTCATATTGAACTTTTTTCCACAATGTTCACATACACATGGTGTCTGTGCTTTATGTTATTAATACACATGTTTTTCAATGTTCAAATTTGATTAAAAATTTGTTCCACAATTACCACACTTGCATGGAATCTCCTTTCACAATGATCACATTTTTCCTATTTGTAGCCTCAAATCACTAATGTTTCAAAATGTTCGCATTCAAGTGATTTATTTTCTGAATCCTCAAATGAGTTTTCAAATTGATACTGTGTTTAGTTTCTTTTCACACTTATAAAGGTTGCTTTCGTTTGTGTATCTTCAAGTGAGTATTCAAATTGCTACTTTGATAAAATTTCTTTCCACAATAATCAAATTCAAAAGGTTTTTCTCCTGTATGTATCCTTAAATGAGTTTTCAAATTGCTATTTTGATAAAATTTCTTTCCACAATATTCACATTCATATGGTCTTTCTTCTGTAATTATCCTTAAATGTGTTTTCAAAGTGTCACT